TCCCTTTCTGTCTCTGAACCTCTCGCGTATGTGGGTTCCCGTACACATGTATGTATTAAATTTGGTTATTTTCTCTTGCTAATCTGTCTCATGTTGGATTATTAGACCAAAGAACCTTGAGAGTAAAGTCTCTTCCTCCCACACTTTCTATATATTAAAATAAACACAGCCCCCTCAACCATAAAAACAAACAAACAAAAAAACACACATAAAAACACAGGCAAGGTTGAGATGATTTTATGAAAAGTTTCTAAATTCATAACCTAACTCCGTCATGTGCAAGTTCAAATTCACCATTCCAAATGCTGGACGCACCCTCCCCCCATCTCCAGAACCTTTACTGTGAAAGGCATCAATCCTTTTCCTCCCCCCCCTCACCAGAGCTCAAATCCTTACTCTGCTCCAACACCCCTCCCAACTCCAATTAACCCTGAAATCTGTGACTTGACCCTTGGAGGTGGCCTGTGGTTGTGCCCAGCAAGGGCCCGAGGCACAGCCCTTCTGCAGGACTGCACTTCCTGGGCCAGCAGACTGCTGCCTGGCTGGCTAGCTGCCCAGGGGCTAGCCCCTCAACTGGGAGACAGTCCCCAGGGGTTCCACTGAGGCAACCAGGACTTGTCACCACCCAGACTGCTACCTAGTCTTTAAGTGGAAGACCTTAGGCAGCACTTTAACTGAGGGGGATATCAGGTCACTTGTCAGCAGAAATTGTATCTTATTTACTGGAATAATGGAGTTTGATGCACCCACTACTGTATGTATGTACAAGAAGCCTTTCAAACCAACTGTAGACCCATTCCTGCTAAGGAAAAAAAGATCTCTCTTGAGTTTTAATTTTAATTTTTTTTTTAAGTGGTGAAAGAGCAGTTTATTAGAAGAGAAAGCACACTCCAGAGTTAGGAGTGGGCCCGGACACCAGTAAAAGCGGCTCAAGGGCCCTGAGTTTTAATTTTTATCCAAGGTATACATGAGTGTAGTTTAAAGTATCAGATCCGTAAAATTTGTTGCAAAACCAAAGCAGCCGTCCCCTTCTCTCTCCCTGCACTTTCCCATCTCAGAGGCCGTCACTTTCCCCTCTTGCCTTTTTATTTTGATATTTACCCATTTCTAAATCGCATACTTGTTCATTTTTCAATTTTAAGCTACATCTATGGATGGGTACATTGTACTGAGATTCTGTTCTTGTTATCTACTGTTGTCCAGTGAACCATCCCCAAACCGCCTTAAACAACCATTATTTGATCACAAGTCTGTGACTCGGGCAGGGCTTGAAGGAGACAGCTGTGTCTGCTCCATGAGGCCTCAGCTGGCGCGGCCGGATGGGAGCTGGGGGACCCACTTCCCCGATGGCTGGCTGTCACGTGGCTGACAAAATGGCTCCTCTCCGCGTGGGCTTCTCCGCAGATTGCTACAGCTTCCTCATAGCATGGCAGCTGGATTCCACGAGACAGGAAGAAGCTGCCAGTTTCTTAAGGTGTGGGCCTAGAAACCAGCAGTCACTGCACATTCCCGTCTACTGACAGCCACAGAGCCTTCCAGATTCAAGGGTGGAGATAGATTCCATTTCTATGTAATTAATTTAGCAGCTCCACTGAGGTATAACTGACAAATAGGAATTGCACATATTTAAGGTTTTTGATACATGTGTACACTGTGAAACTATCGCCACCATCAAGCTAATTAACACACCCATCACCTCATAGCCACCGTTTTCTTTGTGTGGTGAGAACACTTAAGATCTACCCTCTTAGCAAATTTCAAGTACACAACACAGTACTGTTAACTATATCACCACGCCGTACATTAGACGCCATGACTCGTTCATCGTCTGCAACTCTGTACCCTTTGACCTGCATCTCCCAGTTCTCTCCCTCCCCTCCACCCTGGAAGACACCATTCTACCCTCTGCTTTTAGATTCCACCTGTGAGAACATGCAGTATTTATCTTTCTGTGCTTGGCTTTTCACTTAGCATGTCCTCCAGTTCATGTTGTCACACATGGCAGGATGTCCTTCTTTTGCTCACCCCACCCTCAGCCTCGTTCTCTGAACTCCCTTGTCCCCAGGAGTCGTCCATCTTTGGGCCTTTGCAGTCTCCTCCCCTGCCCTGCCCTGCCCTGCCCTGCCTGCCCCCACTCCCCCAGGGCTTTCCTCCCTGCCCCCTCTGTCAGGAGCCCATCCTTGTCTGTGACCCCAGCACCTGCTGTGCGTCTGTCTGGACAGCTTGGATTTGCTCCCTCTCTCGGGCCTTCATTTCACCGCCGTCCTACCTGGCCTGCAACTTCCTGCCTCGTGGCCCATCTCTGCTCTGTGGTCAGCGCAGCTGCAGCGGGCATCTGGTGCTGTCTCCCCAGTGGCCTCATCTCTTTCTGGGACCTGCCCAACCCTCCCAACTGCACAGGACCCTAGGAGCTACCGTTCTATACCATGCCGTCCGTCTGATGGGGCCAGGGGTGGGCACATGCCCCATTTTTTCCTGGGGCCTCTCCTCACTTGAATTGGGAGAACGTGTCAGTCTGTCTCCAGCAGGGCAGGTCACAAGATACAGCTCATGTTCCTAGAAGGTCACTGTGAAGGAAGTGATGTATGCCAGGAGGAATGAAGTAGAAGCAGAGAAGGGCGGCGCAGGGCCATGCACTTACTGGATCATGGGCCACGCCCAGGTGACCTGCCTCCCCTAAGGTGGGCTTTCCCACCTTCCTCTGGGAGTTCATATTTACAACCAGGAGCCTTCCAATCAAGTCCCTTCCGCCTCAAGCCACTTTACTCTGGGTTCCCTTCTTTGCAATCAGGAGACAGGAACCCTCCTGAGGCGGGGAGATCCCACCCTCTCTGGGGTCCCCTCCTCTTTCTGGCCTCAGTTCAGTCCTCTGAGCCCCCGCAGGCTTTCAGTCCCCAGCCAGAGCACTCTAGCCCCTTGCTGTCATTTCCACATCTACTCCTTCAGGAAATCCTTTTAGTTTTACCTTCACTATTGCCCCCCAACTTCTCACCACCCCTACTCCTCCTCCCCTCCACCCCTGCCTGGACCCTGGTCCCACCCTCCATATGGAGCTCCTAGGTCTATTCTCAGCACACTTTTCCGTTCAAATTCTGCAAGGGAAGTCCTCACTGTCACGGGAACGGCCGAGGTGAGCTTGCCTCAGCTCCCACACTCTCCTAGTTCATTCTACCCCAGCACTCTGTCCTCCCGCGCCCTCCCCTCCACTGCCCATGCACACTCCTGCCTCAGGGCCTGTGCCTGCAAACTGCCACCAGGCTGCTCAGAGGCCCTACCCACGCGTGGCCTCCCTCTGCTTTGCCGTGCATGCCATCACCGCCGTCTGCCACACTAGAAACGTGACACTCCCCTCCTGCCCATCAGCTCCCTGAGGACACTGGCACATCGTAGGCACGCACTGTTGAATAAATGAAGTAACAGAGGTCGAATCGCGTCAAGGCCCGGATGAAAACCCTTCATGGCTCTGTACTGCCCACAGGACAGCACGGAAACTGGCCGGCACACAGGTGCTGAGGTGGTCCACCTGTTCCTACCTTCCCAGCATCACCTTGCATGTCCTCCCGGCACTCTGGCCCTAGTGACCTCAGACCTTCACGGCTTGTGTCAAGTCCCTTCGAGCCTCAGTAGCTTTGCTCCTGTGGGGCCTGCTGCCTGTGCTGTCTTCTGGGTACTGCCCCTCTGAACTTTGCCAGAACCTCGTTATGTGGTGACATTGTCTACATCTCCCTCCCACAATGGTGACCGGAGGTGGCCACTTGGGGAAAAGCCAGCTGTGCTCTGTGGCCTGGGCTTCAGCCTGCAATGGCGCCCAGGTGCTCTGGGGCAGCCAAAGAAATGAAGCAGTCTTCGTTTTTGACGAGGTTCTGTGTCACGTCACCCCTTTTGTCAATAGTCCCTTCAGCGTGGGGCCACAGAAGAGAGTCTTTCCCACTGGACCCATGGCATGTGTCCCACCAATGCCCCGCAGATGGGCGGCGTCAACAATGGCTGAATGAGCAGGTGAAGACTGAGGACGCAGCTGCAGTGGGCGAAGGGCGCTGGGCCCAGGCAGAGCGTGTGGTGGAGGGCAGCTGCCTGAGGCCTGGTCCTGGCCGGGCAGCCTCGCCATCACCTTGGCCAGGATGCAGTTCTCACTCCTGCCGATGAGGTGGGGCTGCTATGACCCCATGGCTTCAGGGGGCATCTGGGGGAGGCCAGCCTCTGCCTCCCAAGCAAATCCAGGCAGCGCAGCGTCCCTCACCGACTGAGCTGGCGAGTCCTCGCTGTGGCAGTAGGAGGGACGTCTGGTCTGGGTCCACACTGCCCACCAGGGAGCCCAGCTCTGACCCACGGACTCCAAGGGGCGCTGCTCTGCCCTCAGCTCCCAGGCTCTGTGGGAGGTCCTGGGGACAGCACCAGAGAAGAGGGCTGCTCCTCCTCAGAGGGTGGGGCAGCTAAGGGGACGGGGGCAGCATCGGGACGGCTCCCTGCTGGGCTGTCTGGCCACCCAGGCCAGGAAAGCACCTGACACCCGCTCATCCAAATACCAAACCACCAGACGCTCGCCTCTCGTCCCTTCCAGATACTTGGCTCTAGGCAAAGACTCTGGGGACAGGAACAGGAAAGGGATGGTGGCCCCTGGGACATCTTGGAAGTGGCAGGAAGGACAGACTGAAGGCGGACTGAGGTGCTAAGAGGAGACAAAAGAACTGGGGGCAGGTATAGCAACGTGCCCTCTGTTCCCTCTGGTGCCCAGCCCAGTGCTGGGTGGACGATGCCCACGTCTGGCAAGTGGCACACAAGTGCAGCCGTGCCCAGTCACTACTGCAGCCACCGCAAGGCCCTCCTACAACGTGCTGCGCTGAACTTCTCTTTGAAGAAAGTTCAGTAGAACCAGACCGAGCTTGTTAACGCCAGCACCGTTTAACAGCACGGTGGGACCGGGCCCTTGGTCACCGTGGTCTTCTAGTTTCTAGGAGCTCTTGGGGAAGCCAACCTGTGGTTTCCTAGTTCGGTGGGGAAGACGCACAGGCCCGCTGGGGCGAGAACACCGTCCAGTGGCCCACCATCTCTGTCCCTGCGCCCCTGAGGTTGGTGGCATCAGTGGACGTCAGGTGCCAGACAGGTGGCTAAGCCAGGATGGGTCACCAGGAGCCCATTTCCCCGTCCCTGGTCAGGAACGCCATTGAGGGCCCTGGCCTCACGTTCCCTCGGGGCCGCCCAGGTGCAGGACTGGGACAGAAGGTGCTACGGCACCGGCATGAACCAAGGGGTGGGCGGGGCCACTCAGAGCTCTGGCCCAGGAATGGGGGGAGGGGGTGTCACAGGACCCATGGCCCCCCTCCTGAGGCCGAGTGCGCTGGCAGGCAGAGGGGAAGTGGTGGGGGCAGGGATGGACACAGCTGCAAGCGGTTGGGTGACGGGCAAGCTTGTTGTCTTGCATACTAATTACATTTCTAATCAGCCAGAAAGAGGGGCTGGCATCAATCTGCCAGGCGGCCAGCTCTGTGAATCATCCTGGAACTGACAGGAAGGTTCGGGAGGGTGGTGACCCCAGCTCAGCTATACGGGGTGGAGTCTGAGCCAGGTCCCTCAACTGGGGCCCCAGGAGCAGGCTGCCACCCCGGCCTCCCAAAGGTGCCCCACACACTGGACGGCACTTGGTTTTATTCCATGACACTGATTTGCTGAACCTCCATTCCCACCCCCGTTTCCTGGGCAGGGGAAGGCAGTGGGTGGCCTGGCAGAAGGGGGGCTGGACTCCCGGATACCATTTTGCTCTGGTTAGCACTGGCCAGGCCTCAGCCGTCCGTCCAGCCCTACCCTCTACCTTCTAGTTTGTTTAAAAACTGAGCTGCAAATAATAAAATACAATGAAAAAATAAAAACAAAACCCTGAGTTGTTAAAAACCAAATTAAAAATCCCCTTTGGTGCCAAAGGTTCTAGTCCTAAAAGACAGCAGGTGGGACAGGTGGGCGGGTAGGGTGGGGCCGGGCTGGCGGCCTCAGTCCTCCTGCTCGTTGTCCTTGTCACTCTCCTCGTCCTGCGGGCCCAGGAGGCCCTCGGTGCCCGGCTGCTTCAGGATGGCACTGTACTTGAGGGCTGCAGCCTCTGCCTGTAGCACCACCTCCACCAGACTGAAGATGGTGATGACCTGTGGCACAGCAGAGGCAGCACAGTGACACGGGTGGGTCACCAGGGGCCACCCAGGGGACAGGAGGGGCAGGGGCCTGCGGGCAAAGCTCAGCTCTGCCACTGTCTGTCCAGCTGGGCCCCTGGGACCACTTGCTCTGCCTCGTTAGGCCCGTCTGCCCGTCTGCAAGCCGAGCGCACTCAGGTCCTGAGGCCGGGGGTCCCGGGGCCTGGTATACAGTGAGCACTGAGCGTCAGGGAGAGCAGCTGGGGCCGGGCTGGCCTTGGAGCATGCGGAGGGAGCGTTATACAGGCTTTCTGGGGTGGGAGGGCCATAGCTTTCATAGGATTCTCAAAAGGACCCTGCTTTAGAGAGGCAGGCAGAGCCCCCTGCCTCTCCCGCATAGTGGGTGTCCCTAAGGGAGGGGAGGTGGCTCCAGAAAGCTAGGCCCAAAGGAGGTGATGTGGGTGAGCTGGTGACAGCCCGCTCAGGAGCTGAGTGATGGGGGAGGCAAGGGGGCGTGCGTCTCCGGGGACAGGGGAACTTGGGGGGAGGACGGGGACACAGTGGCGTTCTGGGGATGCTGCCACGGCCCCAGGCTCTGACCTGTTGCACTGGCTCCCGCTCCATGTCCTCAGGCTCCCAGACGAGCGTGAGCTCCGGCTTCTTGCCCACCTTGTGGAAGTGGTGGGACCGCAGGGGCAGGGCCTGGCGGGGCACACACCTGGGTCTCAGGCCCTGGGCTCTGGGTCCCACCTCCTAACCCCTCACCCTGCAAAGCCCTGATGCTTGGAAACAGTCCCCTGCCTCGGCCCACCTCTGACTGGCCTCAAGGGTGCTTCCTGCCCTGTCGCCCAGCCCGGCAGCTGGCTGTCGGACGTTCCGGGGGGCCGCCCCCATCCTCGCCTCTGGCTTATGGCCAGCTTCAGGGAGGTCCTGCCAGGCCATCTCTGCTGAAGCAGCATGGGGCCAGTGGCTCTGTGTGCTATTCCCGGGAGGTGGTGGCCCCAGGTGGACCAGGCACCTGAGGCTGGCACGGGCTGCCCCCTGCTGGCACCGGGTCTGTTAGCACACGGACGAGAACCCTGAATGATTTCAGCTGGACTCCATTCTGTCTCTTCTGCTTTAGTCCATTTTATTGCTATTATGTTTTTTCCATACTACCGTGTTTCCCTGAGAATAAGACCTAACTGGAAAATAAGCCCTAGCATGATTTTCAAGGTGCTCGTAATGTAAGCCCTACCCCCAAATAAGCCCCAGTTAAGATCATCAGCCAGACATGACTGTTTGAATAAATGTAGATTTTTGTACATGAATAAATGAATAAAATGTGTCTTTTGGGGCAAAAATTAACAGAACACCCGGTCTTAATTTCAGGGAAACATGGCATGTGCTGGGCTCTGCACTCCCCAAAGGGCTCTGGATGTGCGGAAATTCAAAGCTAGGGTTGGGGGCCATGTGGTGACCTGCTAACCACAAGGTCAGCTGAAACAGGTCCCTCAGGTGGCCTCAGGCAGGCGCCAAGTCTCTTTGGGAAACACCTGAAACAAACAGCCACCCAGGGCAGGACCCAAGGCTGGCCTCTTCCTTCTCTTTAAGGGACATGGCTTCTGGAGGGGACATGGCGTCCGGAGGGGACATGGCTTCCGGAGGGGACATGGACCATTCTTTCTGATCTTTCCTTCCCTCGTGTTCCTAGAAAACAAGTCTCACAAAGCCTGCATCCCCTGCCATCCTGTGCTGGTTATGGAGGGACGTGTTCTCTGGTTGCCTGATCCTTGGAGAAGCTCCCCCACCCCAGGCAGGCACAGCTGGGTGTCCTGGCAGGGCCCACTGGCTGGGTTGGGGAGGGGCGCAAGGTCGGGGGCTCTATACCCTCTGCCACGGTGTGCCAGCACGGCCCACACCTGAGCGAGGGGCAGGGCAGTGCCAGCACATGGCTTGGATCCTCCAGTGTGGACAGGGACAGAAGGGTCCTTGGCCTGTGCGCCCATCCTCCATGCTTGTGTGTCCACTAAGGCTATTCCTGGGCCACGACCCCACCAGATGCTAGAGGAATGCGGGGAGCCCAGCAGAGGAACGGGAACGGGCAGGTGAGAGCAGTGTGCTAAGCGGCTGTCTGTCCGGGCAGGGGGAGGGCACAGGGGCCCCCGTCTGCACCTGGTAGCCGGCCTCTGCCTGCCCGAAGGCCCCTAACGCCAGCCTGGGCGCCCCGCATACTCACATTACAGTAGACACGCTTCTGCACCCCGTAGCGCAGGACCAGCACGTCAAAGGCTTGGCTCAGGACGCCCAGCACCATGGCTTCCGACTCCAGGGGACCACTCTCCTGCAGGGCGGGGCTCCAGCCAGGGCTTGGCAGCGGGAGGTGGAACCCCCCCCTCCACCCCCAGCGCCCACCCCAGCTGCTGAAGGCTCCGGGGCTCCTCCAGGGCTCCTTGTGAGCTGGTGCCCAGGAGGGGCGGTGGGGCAGAGGGTCGGGGAGGGGTGCTGGGGTGGTGGCCTCACCTTGACCATGATGGCAAAGAAGAGGCCGATGCTGAGCTCCTGCACGCGACTGGACGCCATGCGGCGGTCATTGCAGTGGTCGGCCCGCTTCTGCAGGACACTGGGCTCCACGTCTGGCAGCTCCCTGTAGCCTGGGAAGAGGGTGGTCGAGGGCCGCTGACCGTGTGCACAGAGCACGCGGGCCATGGCTGGGCGATGGGCAGCGTGGTGCCCCGGGCGCAGGCAAGGTGGGGTGTGGGAGGTCCTCACAGAGCCAAGGCCTCGTGCTGTCCAGCTCCAGAGGCTGGGATGGTGGGCGGGCCACGGTTAGGGCCCTCAAGCCCCAGTCGGTTTGGGCTGGGCCCTAATGCAGCTTCGCCTAGCACAGAGGGAGTTTCGGGCCCAGGCTCCCCGAGGCTCGGGCTGCCCACCCCTTGGGGCCTCCACAGTCACAGCAGTGTGGCCTCACTCTGGGGTGGCAGCCCCTGGCTGGCACGGGCCTGCATTGCCTCCCGAGCCGCGCCCCTTACCCAGCGCGGCGGCCAGGAGACGGTGCACGATGATGTCGGCGAAGCGGCGGATGGGCGAGGTGAAGTGCGTGTAGAGCGGCACGTTGAGGGCGTAGTGCCGGAACTGCTCCTGGTCCTCTAGCACGCCCGAGCAGAAGTACAGCGCCATCTGGGGGTAGCGGTGGGGGTGGGGGTGGGGGGTCTCAGAGCCCGGCCAGGCCAGGTCGCGGCTGGGTTTGCTCAGCCAGGCTGAGACTCAGAGCCTCGCGCTGGGCAGTCCTGCTGTGGACTGACCTGCCAGGCCGGAGGCAGCTGAGCAAAGCCAGGCAGGCCCGAGGAGGCTGGGGCCATTCTGTGTAAGGGGGCTCATGGGGCTGCCCATGCCTGTTTCCTGCTGAAGGCAAATGCAAGCCTTGCCCTGGGTTGTTCAGACTCCCTCATGGCAGCAGCACTGAGAACAGGCCAGACAGCCCTGCAAGGGTCCCACCCGGCCTCCACTGAGGACAGGGTGGGTGCTGGGAACCGCAAGGTGGGGAGGGCTTCCTCCCACAGTCCTGCGGACCAAGCCCTGGGGGAGAGAAGGGGAGAGTCACCAGCTGGTCTGAGGGCAGCTGGGGAGGAGCTCATTCTGCCTGCAGTGTGTCGCTGTTGTCACTGCCAGGAACAGGAGAGGGGAGTTGTTTCGGGTCTACCCCTCCCCAGGAAGGGGCAGGGGTGGCCCTGCTGGACAGGGCTGCGGGACTCTGTGAGGACACAAGTCCACCTCCACCACATGGCCAGAGTGGGAGGCAGGAGGAAACACCCGGGACGCCACCACCCAGAGCGAGACGGGCAGTGGGCGCCTGGCTCTTCCTCTCTGGGCCCAGCCCGGCCTTTGGTCACGGCTGAGCTCATGCCCTCGGGCCCAGATGCCTGCCCTGCTGAACGCCACGCTTGCACCCCGGCACCTCTGTGCTCCCAACGCTCCACCTCATGGCAGCCGAGGGAGGCAACGGTTTGCCCACCAGCCAGCCTCAGCCCTTCTTGTCCCTAATGACCTGTCCTGGGGCCAACACCCAGGGGTCTGAGTTCAAGAGGCTGTTCTGCAGAGAGGGAGTTATGACTGGGGTGCAGGAGGAGACACCAGGTTGCTGTAGGGGCCCCACAAACAGCCCCGAGCAGTCTTGCTGTTCTGGGCGCCCTGGCCACAGGCCCCAAAGCCACTTGCCCTGTGTCCCTGAGCTCTCAGGGCTGGGAACCAAGGACGGACACACTGCTGCCTGGGAGCAAGTGAACAGGCCTGTTGCCCAGAGCTGGTCGCACCCTGCGTGCTCACTTGCTCGCTCCCTGCTGCTGCTCACACCCTTCTGTGCGCCCGGCCACATGGATGGCCAGCTCCGGTTACTCTGCGTCCAGAGGCCCTGGAATCCAGGGTGCAGCTGGTGGTGACCTACTCAGCTCCCCAACTCTGCTTGCCTTCCAGCTCCTGCTGGGCCCTGGGTTATGTCTGTGGCAAGTCGCGGGGGTGGGGGGCGGGGGTG